TTTACATACCCAAATGCTTTTTCGAAAATATTAATATCTTGTTCTTTCATCCGTATGTGTTGTTCTTTTTTTGTTCTCGACGTACGCGTTGTTCTTGAAAATCAAAGTCTATATAAGTTTCAAAAAAAAAAAAAAATCAAAGTCTATGTTTTGTACGAAACACTGGATTTATAGCAAAGTCTATATGTTACAAAAACAAAAATCTGGTGAATTGATGTTGAATGTTATTATGTTATAACTATCACTACAAAAAATGTGTGTATTGCATCAATTAAATAGTATCACAAAATTGATGCATTGTGATACTATTAATAAATTTTATTAAATTGATGTTGAGTGATACTATTTTAAATTTTTTATTAATAAATGATACAAAATTTGTTTTCTAACATTCCTATGTTAATTGATGTTATTATTGATTAATTTAACATCAATTTAATAAAATTGATACAAATTTTTATTAGTTTCATCATTTCAACAAAATTCATATAAAATATGGATTTGCATCAATTTAATAATTGATGCATTGCTAATTTATGTTAACATCACTAAACAAATAATTCAAATTTTACATCACTAAAAATGGATACTAATAAAATTTTAGTTATAATTATTTAATCGTTTTACATTGGTTAGATTAAACTGATGTTATTTCATATTAATTATTGATGTAAGTTGATAAAATCAAATTGTCCCACATCGACAATTGTAGAATAATTTGAAAAAAAAATCATTATATAAATAAGGTTATAGATATGCCGATTATGGACAACTAAAATTAAGGAGACTTAATTCCCAATAGAACATGATTAATTTTGGGAAAATTGAAAAAAATGCCACTTTTTATGTGCACATTTGCAAAAATCCCACTTAGAGGGTGTTCATTGCAAAAATACCATTAATTATAGATTTTTGGGAAAACTGCAAAAATGTCACTTTTTATGTGTATATTTGCAAAAATACCACTTAGGAGTGTTCATTTGCAAAAAATAACACTAATTAGAGATTTTTAAACCTTATATCTTAAAATTCTAAACACTAAAAAATGTTTTGACCCCTAAACCCCTCTAAACCATCATAACTAAACCCTAATAGAACATAATTAACCCAAACATAAATAATATAAAAAAAATATTTTGAAAAAGTGGTATTTTTGTAAAGATTTCAAAAGTGTGGTATTTTTGTAAAGTGACACTTGAAAAGTGGCATTTTTTAAAATTTCTCATGACAAATCCTAAAAACCGAAAGATCAAAACCGAAAGACCAAACTATAGCTAGAAAGCATGCTAACACCAAATTTAAAATCCAAGCAAGACAACTCTAACTCTGACAAATCTAAGTGTCATCCTTCCAAAGAACAACCAACCCTCAGAACACATGCTTCGAATATGTGGTGGGATAAAGGAGACGAGGGAGCTGCAAACGCCTCGAGAAGAAGTCACCGAATCTCGAGTACAAAGCTAAACCAAGTAATAGTGACTCAAGCCAACATAACCCATGGAGAGAAGATCATCAGCAAGCAAGTTTAGAACCCAAACATGTCCTCAGTTTCTTCATATACACAACACAAAACTCGTAAGCATGTCGTTGATATCATAAATGCCAATTGAAGAATTATTCGATAAGCAGACAAAGAAGATACTAAACAGCCAAGCATGTGGAGAAAAACCTCGGATACATCACCAAAAAAAGAGTCACACATAACCCATCAACCCCAAGGCATCATCTTAAGCAAGAGCATGATACAAGGAAGGCAAAAGCACATAAATCATCCGGAGAGGAGATATAGCTTGGACCAAAATTAGAGATAACAACAGTCCTAGGTATACACAATTCGATCGTGGAAACAAACAAAAGGGTTCGGCATCGAGGAAGAAAGAACTCATAGATCAACCTCACCAAGCATGAGATTCACCTCCAGCACAATCAAGAAAGGCAAGGAGGAGCAAGGCTAGAGACCACCTAGTACCAACCCAAATCGATACCGTACCAAAGATCTAGGGCTCAAACTAACCCGATCTTGCTAACCACAGACAGAGAAGAAGATACCTCTGTGCCACCATGCGAGAAGACAAACCAACCACTAGACCCACTGTCCATCGAGCCGACGAACCGAGAGAAGGACCGGCCGCACCTTAACACTCACCAAACCAGATGTCGAGATCTCGCAAACAAGACACGAAAAAATCCATCGCCAGATCTACAAAAGCCAAACACACAGGAATCTAAGAAGTAAAACTCGACCGACTGCGGAGCTATCAGAGCCTCCGACCGTCGACTGAGAGGACATCAATCGTTTTTTCTTCTTCCTCTTTCTAGCGGCGCTGAATACTGGATTTAGAATGGTTATTCGTTAAATTAGAGCTCAGAGAGCATGATTACCTCAGATACTATAGGAGTATCATAAAAAAAAATTAAATATAAAATTAATAAAAGAAGATATTTGTATCATGGGCCACGTGAGACGGATCATCAAAGAGAGACTAAAGAGGTAGAATCATAGCCACGTGGCAACTTCGGATTGGGCATTGAGATTTTTTTTGTTTTAAATAGTAAATATCATTAATGAAAATTAAAGTTTAGGA